CCCATCTTGTGCTTGAAAAAACAGTCCTGGGTTATATCACGCTTGGCCTCGTTGCACTGCCAAAGTTGTGTGTGAGCTGCCATGGTGAGTGGACTTGGGAGGCTTGTGTCCCAGCAAGAGTTTGATTTCATCTTCGGTGGCTCCTCGGGAAGTGAGTGGGTATAATAATTTGCACTTCTCTTACAGATCTTCGTTTCATGTGCACTCACCTGTCAGAGCAGGGAGATGCCTCTTCATGTCACTGCTCTGTCTTGTGTAGGCTCGGGAAAGGGGTTAGTTGCTGTGCAAAACTGGGCTGCTTCCAGTTCTGGAACCGACTGGTCCAGGCCTGGCTTGCCTGATGGCACTCTCTTGCTTGGTGTAGGCTTTCCTTTACTGAAAAACTTTTAGTTCAGTGTTTCTGAGCTAGCCATGGTGCAAAACGACCTCTAACTTCGTGATAGGGACTCATTCTGGATCATTCAATGCGGAACTTGTCCCTGGGGCGGCACTGAGCGTGCTGCAGCCCCCTGTAAGGGCACATGAGTTTGGACAACGCAAGCTGAACCCTGAGGTTCGTACAGAGCTTTACAGGACATGCTAGACCATCTGCAGAGAAGCTTGCTTTGGGTCGTGATCTTTTATAGTTACTGTAATCTAACATGTTTAATTCATTTCTTCTAAGTGAAGCGATTGTTTGAGGCTACCCCGGTCATTTCCTTTGTCTGCCACGCTTCCTTGCTTCTCCTGTTTTTCCTGCAGGCCTCTGGCTGTACCTGGCAGGAAGCGACCTTCCCTGCCTCACTCTGATCGGCTCTCCTAATTTCGGATATCGATCAGTTCATCGTGACTTGGAAGCTCAGGTTGCGATAGTTACGGAAAACAAAGCTTTGCAGCAGCAACTCCATCGGGTAAGTGGCTGATTACGGGGAGATAACATGGATGTGGTGCTTGTTGGTCACGTACGGAATGCTGGTGACGCAGTTGCAATAAAAACCTACAGCTACAATAATTCAAAGCCTTCTTGAGCGTAGGAAGTCTCAAGGAGCTGTCAGTTAAGTGACTATTGATGAGATGCCTGCTGCAAGTAACTGCTTCTGGGAAATGGAGGCCATAACGGGAAAGAACATGTGTCCCCGGTGAACTCGAGTATCGGGAGTGCTCGGGCACTGGATGCTGAAAGAGGATCTGCTGGCTCTCCTCTGCTCGCCGATCAGGCAGCGTGTCCTTGGGCCTTATCCCCAATATTTGGGTATTGCCAAGGTTGCACCATGCTCTAGGATAATGAGGTCAGGCCCTTTGAATTGCTGATCTTGGACTTCTGGAGGATTTTGCTTCTCAGGCATTTGGGAAATCCTTTGTTAGGAATATAAATGCCAGCCAGTCAGCTTTTGGGCGGCTGCCATAGGCTGGGGGGGGGGAGGAAGGCAGGGGATCTTAGCGTAGTGTCTACAAGGAGGGGGTTTCTGGGCTGGCTGGATTGCCCATGAAGTTATATGACACAGTATAATCTTGAATAACAACGTGACGTTCTGTAAGCCTACCACAAATATTCAGTGGTTTAATGCTCAGTGGCCCAGGTGTGTGTGTGGCTGCTTTTTTTTTTTTTTTTTTTTCCCCCCCCTTAATCAGGCAGCTTGGACTGCTCAGCACTTCTGCTGCCTCTCTAAATGCTGTCTGCTTCTCCAGCTGTCTTTGACTGAATCTTCTGCTGGAACCGACAGTGACCCAAGTAATGTCTCATGTAGTGCTCTGGTACAAAGCAAATTGATTTGGTGCTTCGGTGTGTGACTTGGGGATCTCAAAAATGTTTTCTGCTAAGCCAAGTCCTGGCACAGGAAGGCACGGTTGTCTTCAGGATCAATGGGAATTGCCCTATTGCATCAGGGCTCTTCCACGGGATGAGTCAGAGTGTATCTAATCAACAACAATTCCATTACTGGAAGAGTTGCTTGAATATTTCAATTCATATCTTGCCTCTACTTGTTTCTAATGGAAGGGGAGAATCAATGAAAATATGACAAAGGAATTTTCTCAGGCAGGGCTGCAGTGATCTAATTCAAAGGGTTTTAAACCATTCCCATTTGCTGGAAGCTGATTTTTGAGATCGGTTGTTTGTTTACTGTTCCGTGATCTTTGTTTAGAAGACTTAATACATTACTGGCACGCTGCCAGGAAATCACTTTGCCTGTGTGACATTCAGTTCCATTTTAAAAATGTGTGATGAGATTTGGGAAGAGGTTTGAGTGGTCTGGGTGCCTTTGGATGCTCCCCTGAATGAACTGAACTTCAATTCAGATAACTGCTCTCGCTTCCAGTCATCGGATGAGCTCACTGTGTCAGATGACCACGGTGCAGGATCTTCATAGCGGGGCTGACTGTAGCTCTTGGAGCATGTTGGGTTTCTAAAATTAGACTGATTTGGCACACAAACGTCTTCCTTCTGCCGCTGGTTCATCTTTTTGCTGTTACTTTTCAATGTCTGGTTCCTGCGTCCCCGTTCCACCCTGAAGTTAAACAGTGCAGAGCATTTTCTGTTGTTTGTGGCAGCTTAGCTAATGAAAAAAAGACGATGAGGCTTACAGTCGATGGTCTGCTCCTTGCCTGCCTGCAAATCTGGGGACCTGACTGGCTTTGATAAGAAAACCGCTTCTACCTTTGATCAAACAGCTGCTTTCACGTGCAACGTGAGCATGTATTATCGTCACGATGGTTCATTTCCTCCTTCAGCAGCACTGTGCACACTGGAGAAGCCTAAGTGTTTCTGGTAATTTAGCTGAAATCGTGACTGCACATTCATTTGAAAACAGCGCTCGAGCTGTGTCTAGAAAGAACTGCACAGCCAGCCTCCTGAGGTTATGGTGAGGTTTCCTTTTCTGGCAATTACAGCGAGGGATTTGGGATTTTTCTGAAACTGAAGCTCAGCTCTCTTGTGGCTGTGGGGCACAAAAAGGCAAAACCTTCTACCTCTGCCCTCTGCAGAGCTTAAATTGCTAATTCTTGAGGCTCAGTTGCTGAGCATGATGGTCATCACGAGGTGGGGTGCTGTGGCAGGCGGCTGCGCAGGACAGATCCTGTGCCAGCTCCTTGGGGTTCGGATGCTCTCAGAGTTGTGCTGCATGGAGTGAGGGGCCTGGGTTCAGGCTTGTGGGAGAAGTGATGCATCCTTCTGGCAGGATCCATGGCCAGTTTTATCTGAGAATTTGCTTTTCTAAAAGGCCGTTACATGATTTATCGGCTAGGATTTACTGGGATGATGTTTCTTTCCCTGTGTAGGAACAGGAGCAGCTTTACCTCTGCTCAGGTGTAGTCTCATCATCAACGTTTGAGCAGCCGAGTCGTTACGTGAAACTGTGGGTGAAGCTGGTAACACCTCTGATCAAGAATTTCTTTTGAAAGAAGAAAAGTTGCTGCTTTGGGTGAGTTTTCTGCCATTCTTATGGGGAATTTGTATTGCGCTGGCTGCAGTTAGTAAGTGCAGTACTCTTATCATGTGGAAGAAAGAGATCATGGAAACAGATGATGTGGGGAAAAACCAGGCATCTCCTTTCTTCTGGGGTACTTGCCACTGACCAGAATTGTTGCTCAAAGTCTGTATGGGTTTCATCTGCTAGAATTTCTGGAAGGGTGAATGAAAGAGAACCCGTGCAAGGGTATTTCCCATGCATAGCAATAAAACTTCCATTTCTGAACTGCCCCTTTCAGAGGTGTGGAGAGGGACTGTGTTTGTTTTGTCCTGACCAGCTAATAGAAAACACTGTTGGGATATATAAAATGTTTTGTCATCTTTTTATCTGACCAGCGCTTTGCATTAACCATGTAGGTGTTGGTTAGCAGGGGCAGTTGTCTTTGCTTTGCTGCTTCGTACAGTGTCCTGGATTTGCCTGGCTGTTCGACTGCCCAGTAACTGAGCACCCCTCAGCTTCGTGGAATTGCTCCTAGGTTTTTTTTTTTTTCCTGTGCTGTGCACACAGTCCCTGCAGCTGGCACCTGAGCGTGTGCCCTTGATGACGAGTGTTCACACGTTCATTTTATTTACAGAAATACGGCCTCTGTCTCTGGGCTTGTGTACCTGGCTCCTTCACGTTACGATGTGTTACCACACAGTGTCTTTCATGAATTGTGGAGAGGGCCTGAGGGGACTTTTGGTGCTAATGTGATTTTTGGACGTTATTTGCTGAAAGTGGGAGGCTCCAACCGTAACATGTGTCCTGCAAGGGAGTTGGGTGGGCAGCCAGGTAAAAATGTGTTTGAGCGCAGGCTTGGGCTGCCCTGCGAGTTTCACGGGTGGAGTACATGCGGTGTGTTCTGGTCTTGTATTGCCAGCAAAAGGGATTTCTGGCACCTGCAAAGGTTGAAGGTAAGGGTAAAGCTTAAGGTACTTTATTCTAAATGCCACTTTGAAAAGGAACAAGCAGCTCTGCTTGCCTCCCCTTGTGGCTTTTCTTACCACGAGCTGCAAGGGAAGGTTTATGCAACTGTATTTTAGAACTAATTGCTCAGATATTTTGTGGGGTGGGATTTTGGTAAATTATTTTATGTTAAAGGGACAGGCATTGGCTGCTGTATGGTGGCCAGAGCAGATCTAATCACCCTAAGAGGCGTTACTGCTGATACAAATTACTTGTTGTGAAAGAAAGGGTAGAGTGGATTCTGTAACCTAGAAAGAAACACGTCCAAGATTGATCTGTTTGCAGCTGGACCTTCTTTGAGTTGTACAGGCTGATGTGTTGGTGAACTGGCCCAAATCTGCACCTTCCCTCTCCTGGTCTAAACAGATACGCGCTTCCCTGCAGGAATGGGTCGTGCACCTGAATTTCTGCTCATGGCTAGCACGGGGCAATCAGACAAATAGCTGTGGAGAGGCAGAGAGCTATGAGGAGGGAAGGAATCCGGATGGTTGCATGCAATTGTTCCCTTTGGCTTCCTTTGGTGGTCTGGCCCTCAACCAGCGCTTTATCAGAAACCACCAATTGAAAACCAGTCTCCGTCATGAGGAGCGCCATGCATTGTAAGAGCACTCTGCCTGACAGCAGTTCCAGCACTGTTTTTATTGACACTTTGCTAAAATAGTCCTGGAACAATAATCAGACTTCGGCTCAGTTACACAACTTTGCATTTTTTTGCAATATCAAGCGTTTGCTGTTTTCTGTAGTCATCAAAGTTTAGGTCTGTAAGAGCAGAGCAACAGCGGCAAGGATCCATTTAGCAGCTTTTTCTTTTGTCTTCAGGTTAAAGGTCCAGACGTAGGTGGGACCTCGCATCCGTGTCTTATAGACAGGACATTCATAGACGTTCTTGGTGTCCACGCGGTCCACGGGGATGGCTCTGATGAAGATGACTGGCATCACGGGCGTCAACTCCTTCAGTCGAGCGTCTGTGATCACACCAGAAGGGATGTCCCATCGAGCGCCTGCAATGTTACGAAATTGTCAGGGTGCCACCCAGTGGCTTTTTCACGGAGAGGGGGCTGTTTTCATAACTGCTAATGGGTGGGAAGGAGTTGCTCTAGCAGCACGGTTGAGGGTGGAGTGTGAAGGTTGGGTAGCCATGGCTTAGGAGTCGTTGGGGCTAAGGTGTTATCATCTCACTGTGACTCATGAATGCATTTTGCCTTATTGTGTGTGGGATGTCTAAATAAAGCCTGTCCCCACTCATCCCTTCCGCAGGGGTTTGCGTGATGGTTGCGTAGCTGAAGGAGGCTCTTGGCCATGGTGGGACCTAGGGTGGCTGTCCTGTGCGCTCTTGTTTAAGCGGACCCCTTTGGTGCCCTGCTGATACCACCATCTCTGTCCCCTGCATGTCTTAGCAGTAATTGTTTTAGGTTCTGAGTTGCCTGATTTGTCGTAGTCGCGCATCAAATAAGAGCACAATATATTTATTCACTGGACCCATGTAGCTTCAGACAACTCAGTCCTCAGGTTCATGACACGCAGTCTGGATTTCCAGAGAGCTGCTGGGTTGTGAAGCTCTGCTGGTAAGCTGGAGGGTGCTGCCCTCAGCTGGCGCCTCTCTGGCATGTGCCTGGGATGAAGGCTCCGCTGCTCGGAGCTTTTGCAACTTCATGTAAGCCAGTGAGTGCCAATGCCTGCTCTGCTCGCAGGAATTTTTAAGGCCGAAGTGGGCTTTCTCTGTGTCTGAAACATCTCATACAAGATGCAGTCTTTTACCTTCCATGAATAATCCGTGCACGTAGGACCCTTCTCTGGGTGGAGCTGTTATATCCTCGCGGTTTTTCTTCGTCACTTCCACCGAAAGACACATCTTGTCCAGAGGCCATTCGTTTTTTCTGGCCATGGACTGCATGATAGCAGTGAGGAAGGACTGGGGGTTGAAGAATCCAGCCAGCCACACTGTTGCAGGCAGCACAAAGTCCGTCGTCCAGACTTCCAGTTCCTGGAAAATAAAACCAGCAAAGTACTTCAGAGTGGAGCACGGCCTGGGCAGCAGAGTGCTGCTGTGAGCTGTGCTGTGGCAGAGGGCTGGTACCGGCACCAGCACCGGGTAATCGCCCGGCTGGGGAAGCTGGGAGGGGGGTGTCTGTGGTGAACAAACAGCAGCTGCCACTGCAGCCGTGGAACTTAACTTAAAGCACTCGGTTGGATTGCAGTAAATACTGCTATTATTTTCTTTAAGCAAAGCTACACTTTAAATAGATGATTTTATGAAATACTTTTTTCTTCTGAGACAGATGAAGTTATGATGGGGTTCGCTAATGTTCTTTTGAAACAGGGGTATACTCCAATGTGAACCTCTTCCAAACTTCTGCTCTCGTTCTCGGGGTAACAGCCCTTTCAGGTACTTCAAACTGCTGAAGTTAATACTGAAAAATAAACCAGGTAACCACTGTACGCTGCTGGAGGTGATTCCTGGTCTTCTATGGTATCTGCTCCCTCCCCAAGCTTTAACTTTGACGAGAAATCTGCTCACCCTAATCCGAAGGAGCAGGTCTGCGTACCAGGCTCCTAAGCTGAGAAGTGAGGGATAGGCGTAGCGTGTCCAGGACTCGGGAACGCTGTCGTAGAAGAGAGCGTTTGCCAGTTCTTCCATATCCGATGTAATCGTTAGCTCTCCCTTTAAAAAGAGAAAAGTCTGGGCAGTTTTGTCTGAAGAAAGCCAGGCTGATGGAAGTACTTGGTCTCAAACTCATCCCGGGGTGGGAGGCTGGGGCTGTCTGGCTGGACCCGGCGCAGGGGGATGTGTACGAGCGCCAGCAGGGGTGGCCAGGGGCTTTGTGCGAGACACGGCTCCAAAGGAGCAACAGCCACTTGCAGAGCACGGGCAATGGTTTGGTGGGTCGGGGCA